CAAATGTGAAAAGCTGTCATCCGGACCAGTGTGGCCCAGTCACTTCAGACAGCTGTCAGTGTGCCTGTTTCAGATGACTGTAAACACTGTACCTACAGGATCTCTTACATGGCACACGCACTGTTTCCAACAGGAATGGTTGGTTATACAGTGCAATTCTCCCTGTGTATATGTGAATCTACAGCGGTGGAATTGAAAGGCATTTCTGTGTGTTGCTTTTACACATCAAAAGACCCCGGGGCAAACCAGCAGAAGTAAAGGGTTTCCTGCACCTGTTTTGCATTCACTTTCTGTCAAACCACGTTGTACTTTTCTTGGTTAAAAATACAGAAATATATTATATGTAAAAGCACACACACAAACACACAAAAACAGCTTAGCAAATCGCTTTAGGAGTTTATGATTAGAGATCATAAGTATTGTTTATAGACTTAATAGTAAATGTTAAAGACTTAACACATTTTCCCCCTTTTTGGTTCTAGTATAATATTAAAAAAATTATATCATTGTCTGGGTATTATCCACTGCAAATAAAAATGTAAATACTAGCTGGGCATGGTGACTCACACCTTTGGTCCCAGCACTTGAGAGGCAGTGGCAGACAGGCCATCCTGATCTACAAAGTGTGTTCCAGGACAGCCAGAGCTGTTACACAGAGAAATCCTGTCTTGAAAAAAACCAATAAATAAACAGAAACACACTGTAATAAAATATACTATTACAATAGTAATTACTTTGTACAAGTAACAGGGGAGCACTGTAAGAAATTAAAGCTCACATCTACCAAGACCTCAAGACATGCTTACCAAATCAAAATGTTTAAGATCAAACACTGGTGTGTTGGTGTGTTCTTTAAGAACAGTCTTGGTTTTTTTTTGTTTGTTTGTTTTTTTTTTTTTTCCTTCCTTTATATCTATTGAAACAGACCTTCCCTATGTAGTCCTGGCTGGCCTGAAACTCACTAAAGATGAAGCTGGATTAAACTCACGGAGATCCAACTGCCTGTGCTTCCCAAGTGCAGGGATTAAAGGTGTGAACCATCATACCTGGCTGCCAGTATTTTTCTTTTCCCTAAACTGTTGTTCTGTCACAAATTTCTTCTGTAAAAGTATGGCATATGCTATGATAAAACTCTCAATTCCTAGTATCAAACATTTCCTTCTATGAATAAAAATATAATTATTACCCACACCTATACTTAAAAACTTATATCAGGGTTTTTGACAAGCATTTTTTTGTAAGAAAGTGAGATAATAAAGAATTTGCACACTGATAAACTTTAAATTTTTAAAAATAAATCAGTGTCTGAGAACCTATGCAGTGTCAAAATCACAGGACACAGAAGCTGTTTCACCCAGCTTCTTTATCATGAAAAGTAGAGATTAGAGCTTAAAGTTCTTCAATAAGGGTCCAGTGAGACAGGGACTTACTAGGCAGCCCTGACACCTGACTTCAATCCCTTCAATCCCAAGACAGAGGGAGAGAACCAAGGACTCGTGATTCTCAACTCACAAGTTGTCCCCCACACATACTGCGTTATGAGCACACACATGCATGCGCACATATACACATCATAAAAATTCACATAGTCATCATACACTAATTATAAAAATACAAATAAAATATATCAAGTAGACCAGAAGCAAACAAAACAAACCAAAACAAAAAATTAGAGCAATAATAAACCTTGAATTTATAGTTTAAAACCGAAACTAAAACAAGGCCTAATACACTATCTCCCTAACAGTAAGATGAAAATATTGAGGCTTCAATTTCTTTGTCTTTTACAAAAGTACAATTATGACCTCACTCTCCTAACAATCAGTGTTGTCACCTGATCCAGTGACATGCGTGTGCAGTGCCATCAATGGGAAGAAACAGACTGGAAGACAAGGAGTTGAGGCCAGCCTAGAATACGTCAAGAGACTTCACAAAATACATGAGAAATAAATAAATTGAGTAACTAACTATACAGCCCTAGATAACTCTGCCTTGATCCACTTAGCAAATACTGAGCACCTAATATAAATACATGTGCACATACACGCACTAGGCCATCATGAACAGAGAGGCAAAGTCTGGGAATGCATTAGCTTCTGAATAAACCATGGTACTCATAGTAAGCATTAACAGAGCTGAAGAGCTGGAGGAGAGTGTACAAATTTATAAAGTGCTCCGATAACTGTCCTCAGTAATTTTTTTTGGGGGGGGAGGGGACTCTCATGTATCCCAGACTGGTGTCAAAGTCGCATATAGACAAAGATGGCTATAAGCAGTCTGATCTTGAAGTGCCTCCCCAGTACTGGCACTACAGGAGTACACAGCCACAAAAGGTTGATGTGGTTGGTGGTGGTGCTCACCCAAGGCCTTCCTTTGTGAGGTAAGAACTCATTCAACTGAGCTACACTCCTCAGAGAACTGCTCAACAGACAGGTGGTGGACTTGGTGGTGGGTAATTTGCCTTCAGCCTTTAAGCTAAGTCAAATATAAGCAATTTCAACCTTGTTTAGCATCTACAAACTGAAGATGAAAATTATCACAGAGCCTCACTGAATGGCTAAAAGAACAAGAAGATACAGTATCAATGGAAAATTGAATTTAGAAGATACAAAATTCTAGGCCAGTAATTTTATGATGTAACATACATGGAGCTAGAGTTCTGACTTCACAGATTACAGTAAACTCAAGATAAATATGGCAATTTTAACACATAACTTCAGTATTATTTAGAGACTACTGGAAAGATTCACTAACAAAATGAAGCTAACACATTTAACACATTCTGATAATCTGGAAATTTTCCTTAAAAATCTAAAGGCTAGGAAAGAGGGACATTGAGCACACACCTTTACTCCCAGACAAATTTCTGTAAGTTCGAGGCCAGCCTAGTCCACAAATTGAATTCCAGGACAGGCTCCAAAGCAATAGAGAAACCCATCTTGGGGGGAGGGGTGGGAACACCTAAACTAAATGGTGTCAAATTAGTTTATGTTCTATATTTATATTTAATCTACATTATATACATCCTCGTGACTATTTAAAATTTCAATATTTTCTTTATGATTATGTAAAAGTTTATCAAAATCTTCCAACCTAAAGAAATTTACTCTAAGACAACCTAAACTTCAATAGTGAGATTAAAACTCAACATGTTTACCCAGACAACCTATTGACCCAATAACTTATCAACAGTAGAAAATTAATATTTCAAATAAACTTGAAGAGAACCAGATCCAATTCTCCAGCAATGCAACTATGCTACCTACATCTAAACTGAGTAGAAACAAAGGTTATGGGAAGGGTTGTAGGAAGGAGGAAGTGTACAATCCCATAGACTACACAGAAAAGTTAGTGTTCCCAGGACTCATTCATTATAATTACCTAAATATATTCACCAATAATCAACATCATCTTAGGATGAGGTTAACAGTTTGAGATTCTTATTCCAAAGCTTGCTGTCAACCATTTGATCAAAGTGATAATAACTTGTTACTATTTTTAGGAGCCACTTGACAGTATTTCAGATCTAATCCCAACATCTTTTGAAAATAGTTTATAAGTTAAAATATATTTTCTAGAGATTACACTCATTCATAAGATTTAATCCATCACCTTAAAGATTTAAGACAATGTCTGAAATTTTAACATTGTGAGGCAGTCAGGAGTTTCCTAATGTGGAATATAGTATCTACAGGGCTGACATGTGCTTTGGAAAGGCACATGAAAACATCAAAATGTTGAAAAAGAATGCAGCTTTCTTCTGGGGAGGAAGAACTGCACCTTCCCCTTCTGCTACATTCAAAGTTCAATACTGATAATAACTAAAGATCATCTTTCCACGGTGCTAACACAATAGCACAAGAACAGTTTTTAATTTCGTACTTTTCTCAGGATATTTATATCAATTCATAAAACCTAAATGAGTAAGAACAGAGTTTTCAAAATCTGAGTAGAGGTAGAATGGGTAAATTATGACCTGGTTGTCTTTATGAACATATGGTAAGCATTTAATAAACTGCTGTTTCTGTATAGCTTACTACAGTATATTGACAATATACATAAAAGGAAAATATGTTTTGTGGTTAAACTGCTTAGAACTCTCCTTAAAAACTGTGGGCTGAAACTAAAGAGTTTATTATTCTAATACAGACAAAAAGAATTTCCATCTTTATTATGTTAGAACATACTGATTTGTACTCTTCAAAGAGGCATGCCACTAAAATGGGAGGTATGCTTATCTCTTACTTCCAATATTCATAATCAATTACTCTAGATGACCAGAGTTAAATATAAAAATTAACAAGTATAATACACAACTCCATTTTCCTCCAAGTTTTCCAAATAGCAATTTAAAAACTGAAATTCCAAATAAATCCAAGATCAGCAAATAGTTATCAGGTGATGAGAAATTTAACCTTTAACCTGGGAAATCAACGTTGGATCTGAAATCCAGTAACATGGAGGTAAAAAACTTTGTTAGGATATAGGTATGCATATTTGCATACCCATATTGTAAGTTCTAAATGGGCTTTGTTTTTATTTTGAGGAGAGTCAACCACTGCCATCATTCAGGAGGAAGAAAAGTAATTTGTTTCCTAGGAATTGTGCACACTTTTAAAATTTCAAAGCATATTTTTCATATTCAGGGTATCATAGTATATTAAACCGTTGCCTGAAGCCTAAGTAGTAATAACGTCTGTGTTGAGAACAGCATTTATTGCCCAAAACAGTTGAGAAAAGTAGATTTTGAGAAATCTGTGTGGACTAGAATAGATAACTTGAAAGAGTAGTTTCAAAAAGGTAGCTTAACCTTTTCTTCCAAGGCTAAACTTTTATGCTAAATACCTCCAAAATGTTACTTTTTGGTTTTGTTTTTTTAGACAACACTTTCATGAGATCCATTTGTAAGATATCCTGTAAGCCATGACTACTACTAATCTCTGCTACCTGAAGGCTGAGATTAGTAGGCTATTCACTAAATAAAATGAAAACATCACCTATGGTTTCTAAGGCACACAGTTATCTACAACATCTGAAGTGGGATTTATTTGATGGAATGCAATAAGTTCTAAGAACATTTGCTGTATCTTGGGTAGAAATAGGCAAGTATTCACATTAGTCTGTAGTCCAAAAGGTTGTTTCAGCTAAAATATCTCAATCCTCACATCTGCAATCGCTGAGAGATGATGAGTGTTGTGCTGGGCAGTTTCTGCAGCTACTTCAGGCTGACGGTCAGTGATCAGTGCTGTACAGGGTTAGGCAAGTTCAGTTCCTTTTTGTTCAACAATGCCTCATCTCCACTACATAATACCTGGTCTCCAGTCCCACTATCCAATGCCTGCCTTACATTAGGTCTTACTTCTGGGTTATTACACAAAGTGATTACATTATAAAAGGCCTCCAAGTCACTCTGTTCAAATGTAACAGCTGGTTTCAGTAATGTTCCAGGAGCAAGGGAACTCCCGCCAATAATTCTCAGGTTGATAAATTTGATTTTCCAAGTGTTTTCCACAAAAGGGCTACGGATAAGTCCAAAAATTTGTTCAAATATGCCCAAACAAGTATTTCCTCTGTGGACAGTCCCTGCAACTCCAACCATAACTAATCCATGAGGAGAAGAAGCACATTTTAGTCCCTGAGAGTCGAAGTTGGGACTGAGAAAAAGAAATTCCTCTTTCACTAATGACAGTAAACGAAGGCTCACAATTTCTGCACCATAGTAGTCTATCACGTTTTGTTCTGAGGTACTATAATAAAACCTAAGCTTGACATCATGCCAGAAGTGCTGTGGGCCCCATTCATCTTGAGGTGGTCCCAGAAAAGGATTCTGAGAATTAAGAAGTTCGAAGAACCAGTGACAGAATTCTTCTCCTAATCGACGGAAATCAACCTTTTCAGTCTCTTTATCTTCTTTTGCCTGCTGGTTAAAACAAACACAAAGTAAACTGAAGGTCCCTCTCTATGACCTGTTTCCTAACTACGTGAAATTACTGCTGAGAGCAAAGGGAACCAAATGACATCAAGCACAAAAAAACTTCTTTCCAAAAGGAAGAAAACATTTTACATTTAAATTTTAGCTACGTAAAACGTAACAAGGCCACTGATGGGTTCACTGGCACGTGGCCAAGGTGCCAGCTACTCAGCAGGCTGATGGAGGAGGATACCTTGAGCACAGAACTCCAAGACCAGCCCTAGCATGCGTGCATGCATTCGTTTGTCCGTTAGTTCCTTCCTTCATCATTTATTCATTCTCATTCTTTCCCTTTCCACCCCTCTTTGTTTTTCTCTGATGTGCTTGGGAACAAACCTGATGGATTCCTTACAGCTTTTGTCTTTTTCTTCTCCAAAGGGTCTTATTCTGTAACCAAAACTGACTTGGAGCTTGTAGTCATCAAGTCTCTTGTCTTCTATGTGCAACATTCTACCTACTCTGTTAACCCCTCTCCTCAAAACTAATTATAAACAGTAGCATACGAATGCTATATGCAATCTCCTTGATTTGATCTTAGAAAAAGTTCAAAAAAAAAAAAACTTTAAAATATCAGCATGAATAGTCAATGATAATGGTTTGTATATTATTTTTCCTTGACTGTACACATCTCTCAAAACTTTAAAACAATTGCTTCAAATGGGTCCTTTATTGACTATGAATTAAATGTCAATAAAGATGATTATAAAAATAAGACATTATAAAAATTAATAAAACCCATGAGGAATTTGCATTTTCTAACATCACCATAAATTCTATTAAAAGTAAGCTCTTGACACTCATGATATCTGCTCTAAAATGAGCATTATTTTTTTAATCAGGAGAGGCCTGTCAGAACTTTAAAAAAAATTGCTTTAAACAAACATATACTTCTAAAGATGACTGACATGGGTAATATTCCATGTCTGGAATACAATTTTTTTTAATTAAAAGGAAATATTACCATAAAACATACCCTATAAACTAGACTTCATGCATCTATGTATTCCAGAACATGGTATCTCAGCAACAATAAGATATTATGTCATACTCTATACTATATATACTATATAGAAGACCTCCTCCTATTCAATATACTTGGTACAGAATAAAATATTTAAGTATATTTTCCAGGTCTTCACAATAAGCTTGATAATATATTATTGCTATGAGCATTTCTTTTTTCAATATATTAAGCAAACAAGACCTTAAAACAGCCTTTCCAGACCTGACAGCATAGTAACTAGTCTGAGTTCAATCTATCACCATTAAGTACACACACACACACACACACACACACACACACACACACACACCCACACCCCAGAGCAGCCAGGATTAATAGATAAAAAGTGAAAACTATTTTTTTAAGTTTCTTAAAGTTTTTACATAACTACCAGTCTTACAGAGAAAGGAAATTTACAATTAGCTTTCTTTTAAAGTACAAAAACATACAGTACACTTTCTAAATGTACACTAGTTCTCATTCGTGGGAAAAGGTATACACTCACCTGAGCCCCACACCCATTCAACTGATTACACACACACCACTACATCTGAGAAGCATTCTCTGTCTAAGCTGCTTTCGAGGTCTTAAAGTATAGAAAGGAGAAAAAAAAAAAAAAACCATTAAAAAACACAAGTACTATGAAACATATGCCTTGGATCTAGGATTATCTGCATATTCAGACAGAACAAGGACTCAGAACTAACTACAAATCTTGTGTACCTGTTCAAAGAGCTGGATGGCCTCTGTCTTTGTAATTGGTTCTGCTGTCTCCTTCGGTGACTGTTTTTCCCAATAATCTTTCGCAAACTGAATAAGATTGTGTTTTTCAGTAGTTGGAGGTACCACCACCCCTTGTATTGCCAAATACTTAAATATGACTTCTCGATGGACCTTTTTGCGCCTCAGAAGTTCTTCTACATTTTGGCTATAAACTAATATTGCATGAATAGCATCTAGAAAAAAAAACATAATCAATAGGCAATCAAAAGTCATTTGATGATTTATCCAACATCAGTAAAAATGCTACAGAAACATATTTAAGCTCTTGTTGTGACATTTAATTTTGCATAAGACAGCTATGGCATTGAAAAGCAAGAAATGACTTATGCACTTGTTTGTTTTTTAAATCCTTTATACTTAAACTTCCTTTACCTTGCTGCTGCTTGGTAATGGTGGTGCAGCCTTTAGTCCCAGCACCTGGGAGGCAGAGGAGTAGGTTCTCTCAGTTCGAGGCCAGCCTGATCTACAAAGCCAAGTCCAGGACAGCCAGTGATATAGTGAAACCCCATCCCCCAAAACCAAAATAAGTAAATAAGAATTGTTGTAATAAAAAAAAAATCTTAGCTCAGAAAAAAATTAGTTCTATGTCCCAAATATCTAAAAACTATAGCCCTTAAAACGACAGTATTTGAGATGTCAAGGAATGCTGTCAAACTCCTTATTCTACAGATAATCCAAGTTGCCAAGTGGCAGGATCAGAACGTTGTTTTTAAATTCAAAAGTTGTGCTGAAAACACAGACTAAAATGTACCTTTCAGCTACACGACGGGTGCAAAATGGCATAAATTAATTTTTAGAAATGCACTCATTACACATACCTTCCCCGGGGCTCACAGCATCTCTGAGGCCCTCTATTTCAAACCTCCCCAAAGCTAGCCTCTTTTCCCATCCATTTCAGGGTGGCTACTACATTCCACTGTTTTGGGTTTCTTCACAGGGACCGAGTAGTCATTTCTCTCCCTTTCTTTACAGCTACATACACAGCACTACTGTATCTAGTAAAGACATTTTGCAATGTTTTATAACTTCAACGTTCCTATATAGAGCTTTTTAATTTAACTTTTTAAGTAAAAAAACAAAACAAAACCTCGTGGTTTCGGCACTTGGCGGCTTTATCTTTTGGAGGAAGAGACTGAGCGTTCCTTGGCACACATGGACTAAAGCCACCAGCCTTTTGTGGGCTGCAATGGGTATCCCCCCCCCCAAGAGACCCACAAAAGGTGTTTGCTTTTCTCCTTCCCGGGACAGAAAGGAGCGTCCTGGGGACGACACAAGCTTAAAACGCTGAAACGCGCCCTGGGGCTCCCCGGAAGTCACGGGGAAAATGCCCGACTCGTGCTCGGGTCACCGCGTCAACGAAGTTTTACCGGGTCGGCGGCAGCCGCTCGCAAACCCCCGGCACCCCCGACCCGGGCTGCGGGCCGTGCGGGCGCCCGAACCTGCGCGGGGGCTGAAGCGGAGCTGCGCAGCCGCGCCCGCAGCGGCCTCTCCCGCCCCCGCCCTCCCCGCGGCTTCGGGCCCGGCGGCCGCCCCGGCCGCCCCGGCGTCAGGCGCTCGCTACCTTGGCGGTCCACAGGCTGCACCAGGCGGTTGGTGACGGTGTCGCACAGGGCCATGATCTCGTCATTGTCCAGCAGGCCGAGCAGGCTGCGGCAGCCCTCCTCCTCTAAGCCGCTGAGCCCCGACATGTCGCCCCCGGGGAAGGGGGCAGAGGACGAAGCCACGAATGTCGCCCTCTCGGCCCGCGGGCCGGCCGGCGCCTTGGCAACAGACACCGGAAGTGCCCTCCCGGTCGCTCGTGCCGGAAGGGGCTCGGATAGTCCAGCCTTCCCCCCGCCCCCGTCCTGGGCGGAAGTGCTTACTCAGAAAGTCCGCGAGGAAACCGTGACACCCCGGACGGTGGTTCCGGGGTGTCTTGGAGTAGAGTTTCCCCCGGACCGCGCTTAAGAGAGGCGTCGGGAACATTCACCGTCCGCTCGAGGGCCGCTTAGAAACGAGCCCTTACGCTCGCCAGCACTGCCTCCCGCGAAAGCGCGACTTAAAGTGCAGCGCATGCGCGGGCGGGGCGGGGCGGGGCTGGCGGAGCGCGCAAGCGCGGGGCCGGCGATGGGAGCGCTCTTCCCTTCCGCCCCTCCCCTCGGGCGGCCCGGGAGCATTTGAATGTCGGTTGTCTCTGGCCACTTCTGAGTTAGGCCAGCCGGTGCCTTCTCTAGTTAACACAAGTTAAAATACACGTCTAGACACCGCGCTGAGGAAATGCTTAGAAGGACCTCTGCTTTGCATGTCCGTGATCCCACGCATGCCCACCTTGTAGGTGACTTTATAACTGAGGCCAAGTTTGAGGCAGTGGTGGAACCCCAACTTGCAGCTGGTTGGTCTACAACTGAAACAACCTGAGGCTGCAGGTTTGCCTCGAAAGCCCAGCTGAAGGGGCGGGGACACCTCACAGCTTGGAACTTTGACGCTAGCTGCATGATTTATTTTGAATTAGTGGCTGCTGCCTCCCACCGCCATCACAGTTGCTCGGTTGGTGTTGGGAAAATATGCAGCGGCAAACACACCCACCTCGGGTAGAAATTGATTTGTGTCGTGAATGTAAGCAGGAGAAACCGTTTTTCCTAAATAGAGAATTATTGAGATCTGGAACAGGATACTTCTTTGTTGCAGAGGTCGAGTTCTGCCTTGCACGATGCTTAACACCATCCCTACATTCCCACAAGGCGTAGTGGCCCTTCCCTCACTTGATTCAAGTGAAAATACCTCCTGACTACCAAATGTTGACTGAGAAGGACAATCATTCCCAGGTGAGCCACTGATTCACTTTCTAAAGGGGTATCTGGGAAGAAAATACTTTTGAATTGCCCAGCACTAACCACTGTTCACATATGGCTCATAAGATCTTGTAGTGTGGTAGTAAAACTAGAAGAAAATAGTATGAAGGCAGATAGAATTTTCAATATGACTGTAAGGCCAGAAATAGAATAGTAATCATAACAAATTTGACAAAAAGGGTTTGGCATCAGACCTGTATTTACTAAATTCTTATTACCTTGCAACAGTAGTTGTCCCAGTTTACAGAAATATAGTCAGTTGGATATTCTTTTTTAAATAATTTGTAAGTTCTTTGAGCATTCTGTACATTTTGATCACATTCCTTTCCCCATGCTTTTCCCAGATCTATCCCCACTTCTCTACGCACCCATCCTTGTGTCCATATTTTTTAGACCTGTCTAAACCAATTTGTGTTGCCAATTATCCTTGGATGTATGGCCTTCAACTGACTTTCCTTCTCTGAGAGCTAACAATCGCTGCTCCTCAGCTAGAGCCTGGCTTTGGTTTGCACAAGGCAGTGTATATTATGATTTCATATTTGCTGCTGCCTAGCTGTGTCCAGAAGACAGTTTTCTTGTCATATACTGCCTCTGGCCTTCACACTCTTTCCATCTCCTAAAGTGATCCGTGAGCCTTGGCAGGAAGAACACTGCGCATGCTTGCATGCGTGTGTGCGTGCCTGTTGGGGCAGAAGGGGGCACTGAGCATTCACTGTTTCTTATTCTCTTCACCTTGGTCAGTTTAGGGTCTCTGTGTTAATAACTATCTACTACAGAGATAGAATCTTCTCTGACAAGGGTTGGGAGATGCATTTTATCCACTTAGTGATATATTATTAATTGCTTAGATTTCCAGAATAAAACTACCATTCTAGAGTTTGAGTACAGTGTTACTTATCTTCATACCTTTTAAAACTGTTTTTAATAACTATGAACTGAATACTTTTTGTGGTGAAAGATGTATGCATTGTGAGGAGTATACTCAGTATATGTTTTGAAAAGTAAATAAAATCTTCTCAGGGGTTAAGCCATTTCAGGTACCAGTTCTTACTGTCTACTAAGAGACTTTTTGAGAAGGCTCTGAACTGAAGAGGAGTATGCCATATAGGGAAATATGGTACACTATGTTGTTTTTATTTAATTTCAAACCTTAGCTTTGTGATAGATGTAAAGGACACTAGTGTAGACAGAAGTTTCTATCCCACCCAGCCCTAGAGCCGTTTGTTTAGTCACAAATAAACACACAGAGACTTGCTATTTAAAAACTCTTTGGCTTATGGCCCAGGCTTCCTATTGGCTAGCTCTCTATTATTAACCCATTTCTATTAATCTGTGTATCTCTGTGTGGTCTTGGCTTACCAATAATGCACGGCCTTCTTGCTTCCTCAGCAGCTACATGGCATCTTCTTGACTCGTCTACCACCTTTCTCTATCCCTATTTGAATTTCCTCCTGGCTAAATTTTGCCTGTTAATTGGCTCTATTCATCAACCGATAAGAGAAACATACTCAGAGCATACCGAAGGCTATCTTCCAACACATTAGCTCATAGATAAGCACTAGGGAAACCATGAACATTACTCACTCAGGCTCATCTCTTCCGTGAAGGGATGTATACCTGTTTTCCGCTCAGAAGACTGGAAGTAGATGTTAGCAAGCTGGTAACTTTTGCTATCTGTAGGGCTAGGCCCCATCTCTCAGAGTGTTTATCCCAGGCTCTGCCTACCTTGACCTTCAGCTTTGTTTCTCAGTCAGTAGGACCCATGTCCCATATACTTTAAAGCCTGGTGACTTCTACACTATCTCAGTCAGAGACCATACTAGGACCTAGGCCAGTAAGCTATAGAACCCATCTTCATGGTAAAGGCCACATGTATTTTGCAGGAAAATGTCACTGTTACCACACCTTACATTTTATTGTGCATATGGGATTGAAGTAATTATTACCAGGAAACATTCTTCCAAAATTAAACTGTTCTTAAATGCGTCTAAAATAAACTGCATGATGTCTGACTCCAGAAGTTTGAACCAGCCCGGCTAAGTAGTGCTGAACCAAGTTTCCTTTGTTTTGTTTTGTTTCCAAATTTCCTAAGTAAATCTTGTGGATTGTTTCTCTACCAGCAGTAGAGCCTGCAGCAGTCCCCACAACACAAGTAACAAATTGTCCTTTAACAAGCTTCTGAATGATGTTGTTTATGCTGCTCCAGGGACCACACTTCTTAAAAATCGTTGTTAGAAGGTAATGAACTATCGTAAGTAAGTATGTCCACCAGACTTGATCCTCTCCCTAATCACTGATTCTCAGGTAAGGTTGTCTCTGTTTGGACATATCTTCGGTTTGTAAGGAAAGCTGCATGGCAGAATGGAAAAATACATAATTATTCAATTGAGAAACCCTCCTGTCTCTTAACAAATCCTACCAGCAGTATTCACATTAACACTAGAGTTGTTATCAGAATTAGAGGTGATACATAGTGGGCACATGGTAATACAGTGAGAAGCCACTTTTCTTCTGTATGTAGCTCTCCTCAATGAGATTAACTTTTTTTTTTTTTTTTTTTGATGAACATAACATTGAGTGGCCATTATAAAATCTTGATATATAACCTGAACTTGTATCCTTGTTAACCACTGATTCTTCAAATTACTATGGATTTTGGATATAGCATGTTTGATTTGAGCTGGGAGCTTAGTCCGTGCCCAGGTATGAAGAACATTAATTGTCAGATCATTAGTTACCCTTAACAACATTAACTTTTGAAGGACCATGTTGGCTCCTGTGAGCTGCTACAGAACAGCATGGCTCCTCCTCACTCCTGCATCTTCTAGGCACATACTTTTGCTGCATACTGTGTCTGCTTTTCAAACCATGTTGTGATACAGCCAGGGTTGGCAGTGTGTGATTTTGACTTTCTAGAACCCAGCTGTGGGCTGAATAAGCCTTGTTTATTCATCACCCAGTGTTGGGTATAGTGGCAACACTAAAAAGATGAAAAACTATGAAAGCAATTTAACTTGATACTAAGAGAACTTAGCACTATTCCCACAAATTCTTCCACTTCCAAAAAAGGAAAATGGAAAGTTACCTAAGCAGTGATTTGCCTAAATATCAGAATAGATTTATTGTTCTGAAAATGGATATGTAGTTCAAGATCATACATCCGTCAGTCGGGAAGTTCTACATTTCAGTGCTAAAATATTTCATCATCGTTTTCATGTGTCAAAGTGTTGTAATATGTGAAAACTCTTTACCTCACCTGTTCTTTCATTTGCACTGCTATGTCATCACTGTCAAAGATCTTTCTACTTCCACACCACTTTCAAAAATTAACAGTGCAAAGTTGCTTTGGTTTTGTTGCTGTTGCTGTTTTTCTGTTGCTGAAACAAAAAAGGAGCCCTCATGCCCAAGATCACTTTCAGGTTTTTAAGAAAAATACTGTTATTATAACCAGGGCCCCAATACATGCCAAACAAGCTTCCTCTGCTGAACCACACCCCTAATCCTTTTCAAAACAATGATGGAATTCCTGAGTGTCAGGGAATAGAATGTGTCCCATGGAATAAGACGTAACCTGACACAGAATGACTCCCTCATTTAAGTTCCAGGAAGAACTTCACTTTTGAAGGCACAAATGCTGATGGGACATATGCATGCCTGGCATTTGCGGAGCTCTGATACTTCCTTTTGCCCCCAACCTTCAGAGTCTTAAGTTGTCCTTTACCTGAAGTGACTTCAGTAACCACCATTTTATATGTGTGCATGTCTGTGTGTATGTACCATGTTGTGCCTGGTACCCCGACACTACTTTTAAGACAGTTGTGAGCTGCCATGTGGGTGCTGTGAACTGAATCCAGGTCCTTTAGAAGAGCAGCAAGCACTCTAAACCTATGATCCACCTTTTTAGCTCCCTCTATCAACTCTTGACACTGTATCCAGACTTAAACAACAAAAGCATCATTTTCTATCATGTTTCCAAAATTT